GTAGACATTTTCTGAAATCCCCAAAAAGATCTCTATAAAATAATCAATAAATTGGTCTTTAAAGAATTAAAAATGTCTGCTTGTCAAATGACACTTAATTGAAAAAGCAAGATAGTAACTGTGGGGCAACAGATCTAATACATAAACCTGAAAAAATATTTAGCCAGGAAAAAAAAAAAAAAAAAAACGCCTATAAATCCATAACAAAAGAATAACAATCCAACTTCACAAAAAGAACAAAAAAAAACTTGAACACATTTCACAAAGAAGAAATAAATGATCTGCAAGCACATGAAAAGGCACTTAGCATCGTTAGGTATCAAGGAAATGAAAATCAAAACTTCAATGACACTTCATAGTCACTCAAATCGCTGAAAATGAAGAAATTTTCATTGTTGGAGAGGATATGAAAGAACTGCAACCCTCCAGCACTGCTAAGAGAAAGCTTGGAAGTTTCTATAAAGTTACTGAAACATTTATCTTCTGACCCAGCAATTCCACTCTCAGGTACCACTCAAGATATATGGAAATATATGTCCAAGAAGACTTACTCAGCAAAATTTACAGCAACTTCATTCAAAATGCACAATACAAACACTAACAGGAAAAGAGATAAATGAACTGTGGTGTATGCACACAATGGAATAAATACTACTATCAATGAAAGGGAATGATCTACAGATATGACGAGGAAGACAAAAGTCAAAGACATGGTACTGAATAAAAGGAACCAGCACAAAGAGCCATTGCTAAAGGATTCCACTCATATAAATTTTAAAAACATAACAACTGATTCAGGAAGAATGAAATCAGGACAATGATGCCTTCCAGAGCTGGATAAGTGGGAATTAACTGGAAAATGGAAAGACAGAATTTGCTGGGATGATGCAAATGTTCTACATCTTTTTTTTTAATTAAAAAAATTTTTTAGTCATAGCTAGACACAATACCTTTATTTTACTTATTTGTTTTTATGTGGTGCTGAGGACCAAACCCAGTGCCTCATGTGTGTTAGGCAAGTGCTCCACCACTGAGCTACACCCCCAGCCCAAAAGTTCTGTATCTATACAAAGGTTATTTATTATCTGAGTGTCTACATTTATCAGAACTTGTTTAACTGTACAATTTTTTTTAAAAAATAATCTTTTCGTTGTAGATGGACACATTATCTTTATTTGTTTGTTTTTATGTGGTGCTGAGGATTGAACCCAGTGCCTCACATGTGTGAGGCAAATGCCCTACCACTGAACCCCAGCCCCAGCCCAACTGTACACTTAATATCAGTGAATTTTACCTCAAAAACCTTCTATTCTGTTAAAAATTACCAATAGAGTATGGTTATAAAGTCTTACAAAAGGTTTTATTCCTGATCTGATCATTTCAATAAATTATTTTAAGTTCTTTTGAACCTTTATTCGAATCCTATGTATCTGTAAACAGATGATGACTCTCAATCCCACATGCACTTATGACAGTTAAAGTCAATGAAACAGTGTCATAATGTGCCTTTTCATTAAGATTACTTTATGAAGATCTGAGAATACTTTTACCTATTCATATGTAGGCTATATTATAAAATTTATCACTGTTAAAATCCATGTAAGATAGGTTTCTTTATTGTTTTCAATTAATATTTTAACTGCTTAGCTTCTAAATGGCCAATTTTCTTTTATTTGTCTCATATTTGTAATAAAGCAGTTTTCAGGATGGAATGAATGTATATTTTATACAACTAAAATATATGCAATTATACATGTGTATGTGTGTCAATTTATTTATTTATTTATTCACTCACCCACTTATTCATTCATTCATTCACTTATTCATTCATTTATTTATTTACTTACTTATTCGCTTATTTATTTGTTTGTTTGTTTATTTCTGCATCACTATTTCTCTTGTTGATTCCTATATCATTCCTTAACTCACAGCTAAGTTTCTTGAGGTTAAAAGAACACTTTTAAAAGAATATTGGTTCCAGGTATGGGGATGCACACCTGTAATCCCAGTGACTTGGGAGGCTGGGCAAGAGGATCACAAGTTCCGATCTAGCATCAATAACTTGGCGAGGCCCTAAGCAACTTAGTGAGACCTTGTCTTAAAACAAAAAATAAAAGGAGCTGGGGGTATGGCTCAGTGGTTAAGTACCTCTGGGTTCAATCCTCAGTAACCCTCCCCTCCAAAAAAAAACAAATAACCAACCAAAAAAAAAAAGCCTTGGATTTAAATCTCTGTTGTGTTTCCTAGTAGCTATATGAATTTAGTTTAAATTGCTTAACTTCACTGAGACCCAGTTTCCTCATCAATACAAACACTTGACATGACATTTCACAATAGCTACTTCATAGCTTCAAAAGGAGAGGAGAGGAAAGAGCTGTGCCTCTTGCAACTGAGGGGTTGTCTTCCCCGTGGAGAATTTTTAAAACAATAAAAAAGTCACCTGCTGAGGATTCTAGAACACATCAGTGACAAAACAGCTTCCCTGTGGGTAAACTTTTCCAAGGACATTACATAGGACAATTCAAAGCAGACAGTGGGCACCACCCCTGAATGAAAGAGGAGCAAATGCAACACAAGCCCCAGGTAAGGCCCGGGAATAGTGAGCCCCAGGGAACACTTTTCAAAAAGTGCTGGCCCGGTGCTGGAAGGGCACTAACCATTCAATCCCTGCAACAGTCCCAGGAAGCAGACTCTACTCTCACCATTTTATGGTGGAGGAAAGTGATGGAGAGATCACTAACTTCTCCAGCCACCAAATGGCAAATAGAACAGAGGGCACGCTGGTAGTGAACCCCAAAGAAACAGCTTTGAACCAAGAAGCCACAGGACTGTTTCTGAGCTACAAGACCATTTCAGGGTCTTAACAGGAAGAGCTTGAGGGGCATGAAAGGGGGCACACTGATTTAAAACAGTTTGTTTCAGAGAATTTGGACCCTTAAGAAAAAATTTAAAAATAAGAAAAAATGAAATTAAAAAATGAGAAAAATCATTAAGTCATATAGCTTAAGAAAATAAACTACAGACTAATTTCCCAGTGTCCAGGAAATAGAAAAGAGTGGCCCTGCCAAAAATATTACACTTAGATGCCCAAACATGCCCTGTATGTGTGGGGTGTGTGAATCTAGCTTTGTTCAGGTCCCTCTACTAAGAGCCCCCTCAGCAGTCTGCCCCAGAGGGGAGCTGCCTGAGGGGACCTGTGAGCTCACCCACCCAGTACTCTGGCCAAGTGGAGCAGGGACCCACCACCAGGGCCCACATAGAGGAGCAGAGCCCTCCAGACTGCCCACAGCTAGGCCACATGGCAGGGACATCAGCCAAGTGCGTTTTCATGCAATGAACTTGCCCTTGACCACATGATGTAAATAAATCAAGGAGTAATTAGATTCTGTCACCCTCATTTACCAGCTTTAGGGAAGAAAAGCAGTTCATTCCCGCTAAAAATGCAGGCTTCCTTACTCTGAGCCTTGGGTTCTACCTTAGCCACTAAAGTCCAAGACCACGAGGAGAGAAAGGAGAGGACACATAAAGAGTTCACAGTCAGGGTTCCAGACTGCATGACAACACTCCTGTAATGACACTTGGAGTGGGGCTGAAAGACCCGGGTGGGTGGGCTGTCATAATGACATTGGAATGCATGTTAACCACCAAAAGCCCACAGAGAACAGAGCATCAGTTCAAATAAACTATGCATCTATATGAAAATTTAATTAACCCATCAAAAAACAAAATGTTCACACACACATACACATGAGCCTGAGCAAACGTAAGCTCTCATCTAACTTTAGTCAAAGCAAATCCAACCTTCGCTTTAGGCTATAAACATGTCATCCTGGGCAATTTATAAGGGAGGCCTCAGCAGACAAGTGAATTACGACCTCATGAAGGTTTTCATTTTAAATGTTATCTAGCTCTATGAAAATGCAACCGAATTCTTAGGTTCACATAACATTTCACTGTATTCTTTTTGATACTTCTTATTTAACATTTCCCCACATTATGTTTCGTAAGTTAAACACACTTTAATAAATTGTAGAAATTGCACTGGTACCAGAAAGCAAATTAACACCTAAATTTTAATTTTTTCAACCATTACCTAACTTCTATACAGACTCTTCCTGACAAAAAAGCTATAAGTATCAATTATTCCAAAATTAATGACAAAATTTCTAGCTTAAAAGAGTTAAATATTCTATACTAGCAGTTGGCAAACTTTTCTATAAAAGACCAAAGAGTAAATATCTTCTGTCTTGCAGGACACTACAGTGTGAAGTGTGAAAACAGTCATAATCAACACATGAATGAGTATCTTGTCATGTGCCAATAAAACTTTATTTATGAAACAATGAGCTGGATTTGTCCCCCAAAGGCCATAGTCCGCAACCCCTCATCTAGACTAAACTAAAATAATGTATAGAATCTAGTCTCTAATATACACTGCAAATTGAAACTTCAAAGCCAAAAAGAACCAAAAATAAGCAAATTATAATTGTAGATGTGGTCAAAGTTTCTGAGTTCTGGATGTTGCTAGTTTTCATCAAAAAATGTAAGATTTGAGGGTGTCTATCTCTTACAATTTGGATATGAAGTGTCTCCTGAAAAGTTCATGTTAGACAATGCAGGAATGCTTAGAGATGAAAAGATTTGATTATGAGAGCTGTAGCCTAAATCAGTGGACTAATCCACCTGATGGATTACTAATTTTAATGGGTCAATGGGTGGTAACTGTGGGCAGGTGGGGCATGGTTGGAGGAAGTAGGTCATGGAAGGAATTTGTCCTTGGCTTCTTGCCATAAGCTAAGCAGCCTTCCTCTGCCATGCCATTCTAAGATGATGTTCTGCCTCTAAGTTGTTCTTGTCAGTCATTTTGGTCCCAGTGACATAAAGCTGACCAATACACCATCTTTTCTTGTACAGTACACATTAACAGGTGTTAATGCTGATCACTGCTGGAGTACGTTTCACGTGTGATATGAGATGGCTAAACAAAGTGAGCTACTTACAAGAGGTGATTCATTTGACCAGGTTTGATTCTTAACAGGTCCTATGCACCCTGAAAAGAAAAAAAAAATCACTCTGTCACTTAAGAGCACAATTGATTCACTCAACTTCAAAAGACCACTGAAAATACCACGCTTGGAAAAACACACAAAACAGTAGGGAGCAGAGAAAAAGCACAATGTGTCCTTCTCAAATGACACAAAAGAATGCGTATTCACAGGCTAAAGGAACATTAATTAAAATGTAATTATCAGATCAGCAATGGTAACTATTTAAATATCAAGAAGGAGCATAAGCCCAAGTGGGAAGGAGAAAAGAAAAAGGCAAAAAAGACACTGCATCACCTAAAATATAGCAAACCTATTCAAATAAAGTCAGTTAAAACAAGAGTCACAGGAAAAGACAAGAGGGGGAGTATGAATCCATGCTGTAATCTGCTCACATTTGACCATATGTCTTCCTAATATTACTAATTTAAAAAGCCAGAGTATGTATTGGAGTTTGTATTTTTCAATCATGTTATAAAATGATCTTCAGCACTTGCAATTTTTGAAGTACATTACAGAGCCACCCTCACAAATTTATAATGAAAGATGACAACTCTCTATAATAAATATAAATGAATATGAATGATTTCTGGGTCTGCTATATAAATTCACAATGAAATTAATACTTCATTACAAGTTTTGAAGCAAAAATAAAACTTGGTCAGAGAGAGATCAAACAACAACAACAATAATAAGACCCCAAGCACCACACATGGACTAGTCAGATCTGAGCAAATGCTCCATCCCGGGAGGTCCAGCAGGTAGCTGCTCTGGACTTTTAATACTGCAGTTTTTAGTACGTCAGTGCATATGCTGAGACCCTGCTGCCCTCTGACCCTGCTGTTAACAGTCCTGGATGGCAAGGCCAGTATGGCTGCCTTGGGCTGCTGACCTCATTACAGTAAGCAAACTCCTGGAAACCCAAGATCCCAAAGGCTGCTGCTTGGAGTCCTTTCTGGAATAAGAGAGGGCATAAATAACTATCTGAGTTCCCAAATATTTTCTCTCACCTTCTGTTTGATTCTTTCCAAAAAAAAAAAAAAGGTACCACTTGGAGAATTAGTTGTCATCTATAGTAATTCAATACTAAATCAAATAGCCCACCTGGTAATGCCACATAAAAAAATGGACAGAAAAAAAGGACTGCAAAAGTGTTATGAAATAATGTTTAAGACACGAGTAAATATATAACTAGCCCCCCAAAAGGACTAATGAACTAAACGGGTTACTTCTATAAAAATACATCTACCTACACGTAGAAGCCTTCCGCTTTTGAAGGACATGCGTCTCCCTATTCCCATCGAAAATCCACCTACAAATATACTGGTCCCAGGGCTTCTCAGTCAGTGTAGAATACCAAGGATCCAGAAAGCATATTCTCACCTCCTCCTTTATTCTGCATCCTCCATCTTGCTCTACCTGCTAAACTCGTAGTCTACCCTCCTACTCTTTTGTGTCTACTTGTTTAGTTGTGTGTATCTGAGGAAATGTAGCAAACTATAATGGGAATTCTATAACTCTCCTTCTGAAAAGCCACAGTGATTGTTGACCTATTTCTCACTAATGAAGTTGAGGCCCAGGGTGAAATACAATCAGTCCTCTGTACCCATGGGTTCCCTACCCCTGGACTCAACCAAACTCAAATCAAAAATATATATATTTTTCAATTTCAACATGTACAGACTTTTTCCCCCATGGCATCATTCCTTGAACAATACAATATAAAATTACTTACACAGTATCCGTATTGTATTAGGTATTATAGAACATCTAGAGATGCTTGTAGACTATATGCAAACACTTTGTCATTTTGAATAACGGATTTGATGCTTGATGGATTTTGGTATCTTCAGGAGTCCTGGAGCCACTCTATTATAGGTTCTGAGGGACACTATATTATTTTTCTTTTCTTTTTCAGGTACTCTAGAGCTAACCCAAGGCCTCACACATGGTACACAAGCACTCTACCACTCAGCTACATCCTCAGCCTTCCAAGGGACATTGTATATAAAACTTGTGTTGGCTCTTGTTCAATTAGGGATGAAAGAAAACTTCAGATTCATACCTCAATTTGTTCTCAGGAAAAGGGGATCTGGTCATGTAGATGCCAACTACAACTAGTTAGGCTAGAATTTTCCTAGAAGAAAACTTGATCTGGTCTTGTGGGTGCCAACTACTCCTAGTTATGCTAGAATTTTCCTGTCAGGAGATTTCATGCCCTCAACTCCCAATTTACAACATATAACAAGATATACTGAACAAAAGCAGAAAAAAATTGTTTAAGTGAGCTAAAGTTCCAGAAAATAATAGAAAAAATAATTTAAGTGAGGTCAAATATTGAACAAAAGCTTATAATAAATCAAAAAAATATTGACACAAAATAATTAAAATATTTTACTGAGGTACCAAGGCTCTGGTCTTAACCCTCTTCTTACCTATCTATACTGGCAGCCTTAGGGACCTGTGTGGCTTGGGACACAATACCAACTCCCTCATTTACACCTCCAGTCCATCCTTTCCCCTTAACTCCAGACTGGTACATCCAATGCCCACAAAATGGCTCCAAGCGATGTCAACAGCATGTCAAACTGAGCTCCTCCCCACACACCATACTCCTCTCCTACCAATTGCTTTGGACAGAAACCCTGAAATCTTCTCTTACCTTCTTCTTTCTGTCACATCATAGACACAGGTTGTTTTTAAATCCTATACACTCAATTTTCAAAGAATTTATGGAACTTGAACATTCCTCACCGCCTATACAGCTAGACATTTGTCCAAGATGCTATCGCTGTGATCTCTTTGCCTGTGCCCTCTGGAAGACCCTAGCAGCTCCACAGTCTTCTCAGCATAGCAACCTTGGGATAGCCTATTAAAACTGACGTCAAACCATGTCACTCCCAAATGACTTCCCACCACCTTTAAGCAAAATTAGAAACCTCCAATGGCTCAATGGCCCTTTCCACTGTGGCTCCCAGTGAACTGTGACCTAACCACCAGCAGCATGATACCACCCCAACTCCATAAAACATAAGCGAATCCCACCTGGCTGCACATGACAGCCACCCTCTGCTCCAGGGACTTTGCCTCTGTCTCAGATCATTTTCCACAGAAAGCTACAGGACTCACCTCCTTCCTGCCCTGTCCTGTCCCAAACATCCCATCCTAGTGAATACTTCCCTGGCCCAAAGTGTGTTGGTTTTCTGTGATATAACAAACTCTGCAGCCTAAACCAACATCATTTTTATTTAAGAGTCTTCACAGGCTGAGGTCCAGGCATGGCTTAGTTAGGTCATCTGATCAAGGTATCATCTGGGACACCTTTCTCTCTAAAGGCCTCGGGTCTGTACACTTGGGAAAAAATCAAGATCCCTGTGGTTGAAAGATGGAGGCCCACTTTTCAGATCCCAGAAGCTGCTCACAGTCCCCAGCTCTGTGGCTTTTCATAGATCCTGTTAAATGTGGCAGCTCACTTCTTGAAAGCCAGCAGCAGAATCTCTATTCTGGCTGCTGAGATGGGGTCTACCAGAAAGTTAGCGAGTCACAAAGTGATAGCCCCTCATCTTCACCATGCTGGTAGGGCCTGCTCACCCCCAACAAGAGCTATCTAGAACACTGCCCTGCAGCCTCTCTAAAGCTGCCACTCCCACACACCCTGCAATATAGACATCCATCCCTGTCTCTGTTTCATTTTCCTCTATCACACTTTTTACCATTTGAAAAACTAAATTCTTTATGTACTTTTCTTCTGTGTTCTTCGCTTCATGTCACTAAAGTCTCAGGAGGACAGAACCTACTGTCTCTCTATTTTCTGCTATATCCCCAGTCTCCAGAACAGTGCCTGGCTCAGAGTGAGCTAAGAATACATGTAAACTTGAACCAGTGCATTATTTACTACATCAGCTGCCTTAAAATCATCAGGACTTCAGCATCTCTGCTGCTAAATTGCAAATTTCTATGCCCTTTATTTACAGTTAACCACACTGCATCAGAACTTTGTTTAGTCACACAAGATGAAATTAAATGTTATCCTTCCCATGGTAACAAAGACATACAGTTTGATTTTCACGTCAAGTTCCATTGCAAACATGGAAAATTTTACCCAACTATGTGGTGAGAACTCCACATGGCATATTTGGAAAACCAGAATTTTAGGACTTATGTAAAAACAGATGTATTCACTCTCTGTTTCCCAGGCTTACAGATAATTTTTTTTGCTGATTTTTTTTTTATTATTCTAAAAATTCTTTGGTTGAACAGTTGAAGGAATAGGAAGTGTGTGCCCAACTTTCTTTGAATACTGACTCCAAGAAAAACCACAAGTATGTGATTATGTCTGTAATTCCAACAGAGAGAAGTATGAATTTCAGAAACAATGAACATCTATGACTGGAGGAATCAATGTTACGGATCCATTATCCATCTCATTTAAAGGAATGCTGCTTCTTTGCAAGAGGTGGAGGAGAATGCTAGACCAAGAGCCATGAACATGAAATATGACTCCTTATAAAACATGTTATTTGAGATGCATTTTAACTTATGTGCCTCTGGTTAACAACTTTTTTCAAGTGATTTTAAAAACCACAAATGTATAATCCCTTAAATACTCATAAACCTAGTTGCAAAAGCAAGTTCTATAATAAACTGATGATTTACCTGACAACATACCTGGTGAACACTTATGTGGTCCCCCCAAAAGTACCCAAAGATGAGCAGACCACCCTAGCTATGGCAGATCCTGAAAAACAGCCTGGTTTTTCTTTTGTGTCTTGTTTATGCTTTCTCGTTCCATTTCAACAAAACTACTGCTATTAATGTAATTCAGGAACAGAATACGTTTCTAAATCTCCCTTGTCACTGACAAAGGAACATTTATTTCTGAACTGCTTGACAGTTTCTGTATCTGGCCTCTCCACTCTCAGCATCCACATAATTTCCAGGTTAATCTGCCAAAAACGATGATTTTGGCAAGTCACTCTCCTCTGATCATCAACTCAGAGTGGCT